GTCCTTCGTCTTTGGTCTAAAGAATTGATTTGCACATCTCTCCACTATATGGCGACCGTCAATGGCTCTTGGCATCCCTCACAGCGTGCTTTTCACTCTTCGCCATCATCGGCCCTGAGTCATCCTTTTGTGCCCAATTCTCAGCCTTGTTAAACAAACTTCCAACTGTCGGTTATGATGGATGCTGGTCCCCAACTGCCAAGGTCATCTCTAATCTCTCGTAGCTTATTTCTAGAGGTATGCCTCCATTGTTTCCCTCCATCATCACGAAGACAACTTCGATGCTGGGTTTCAAGTCAGTGTGTTGGGAGAGGAAAACGAGCATCCAAGGCTGAGCGGCACTGCCTGGCTTCCTGATCAGCGTCGCTCATTTCCCACTGATACCACATGTTCTGGCACCCAACCCAGATTTATCTTTTACGTGCTGACATTCAGTGCAGCCAATCCTTGAACTTCCCTCACCACTGGATTGGATGAGTTAAGCTCTTGATTGTCTTGCAAGGCACTCTAGAGTCACAATATATTACAACAGAATGGTTTTGTGTAAGATCCGATCATCTTACTGCTGCAAGGATGGCATGTCACTCTGCATTGAAAATCGAGGGCTGATCGAGAAAAGACTGCCAGATGCAGTCTTCCTTCTGCGCACTGCTGCAAAGCGCCACCCATTTTCAGATTTCGAACATCTGTATATATTGCATATGATCCCTTGGGTACTTAGAAGTTTGTTTGAAGAAATATCTCTCTGACTTCTGCTTCGGATCTCTCCCTTTTCCCAATACCGACCAAATCAAGCTCGACTTGGTAGTCCAAGGGGGACTTGGGAAGTTTCCAACAACAGCCAGAACCTTTGTGAGATTTAATTAAGACTTCCACAAGATTCCTCATTCTCCTACCATAGGATCGGCTATCCTCAAGGGGGTTTAAAACCAGTCTGGATGTAGGCATCCAGGTGAAATCCTTTTGTAGGTCTCGTGTAATAATCAGGTTTCATGTGTCCCGGTGTAATGAAAGAGGTGTTCTCCCCGCTCAGCAACAGGGACTCCAAGTGAAGACCTGAAAGCCCCTATACAATTCTCAGAGCTTCATTATGAACCGAGTCAACATCCGAAGAACAGTGGGAGTTGCAGATGATATGCCTCACATCCATAGTCGAGTTTACTACTAAAAGTGCTCGTAAAATTCGCAGAAGCGTTGGCGGTCTGCACCCCAAGATAGGTGTGAAAGAACCCGCAAATACTGCGCTTTTGTAGCTTTCACCTTTCAACTGTTTATATGAGGCCCATGTAACTTTGAGTCAGTTAGACCAAGTACTTATCTGTTTGGGCAAAATTAGTGGTTTGCTCCTAAATTAGAGGGAAGGGTGAACTTTACTCGTTTGTGGAATGTACATAGCATTGTCTTGCTTTGAAAATTTGAAGCCATGGTATGTGCCCATTGCACAACCTGATTTTATTGCTATCTGCATGTTGTCCTTGCACATCCTGTAAGCTTCCTCCTGAGCATATAGTGTAAAGTCATCCCATACAGACTACATGAGACAGCACTTGAAACGCCTTTAACATGTCAATTTTAGCAAGGGCAAACATGGTCACACGTAAGACACTTCCCTGTGGACCCCTTCCAGCTGTCTTCCAGGTTAGAGAAGCTTGTTGCTACCCCTCACTCTACACTTCCTGTTGCAAGGAAGCTGTGATGATGTTGGCAGTGCTCCTCTTAACCCAATGTCATACAGCGTCCTGAGTATGCCATGCTTCAAGTCGTCAATCATAAGCCTTTTCAATATTCCAAGAAGACTGCAACATATGGCGTCTGCTGTGTGAAGGAATTCTGTATAGCAGTTTCCATCCTCAACAAGTGCTCTGGTCGATCCATTTTTCTAAACCCATATTGATATGTGGGTCAACACGTTTTCCTTTTTCTAGCAGCCATTTGCCAACCGAAGTTTACCATTTTCTCCATCAACTTGCAGATAACAGCTGTGAGAGAAATTGGTCTATAAATTCCCTGGTTGGAAGCATCCTTGCCAGGTTTCGGGACCAGGAATGATTATAGCTCTTTTCCATGTGGATGGCCGTTCCCTCCCTGTAGATCCTATTGAATCATCCAACAGAACGTTTGGGAGCTCTTTGGTAAGTGAGATATCATTTGGTTGGAATACCGTCCCTTCCTGGGGCATCTTTACGCGAGCTTCAAGCAGAGTCCATCGCCTTGCGCAAAAATGGCAAGTTGTATGGAAGTTCTGCTGCAGTGCTACTGAAGACGACAACGGGGGTGGTCGTTCCTGTTTCGCCCGAAGAGTGGGAACGGTCAGTGTAAGATGCTCCAGACAGATCCCTGCATGGATTTTGCCAGTTCATTTGCAACATCTGTTTTGTCTGTGAGGGATTATGCCATACTATTTTCTCAGAGCAGGTGTAGGATTGCGCTTTCCAGCGATTCTTACGCACCTTGTCCCATCCCATGCTAATGGGGTCCCAGAGTTAATCCAGGGGAAGGACCCATAAACTTGGGCCTCCATGATGTCCGTCTAGCCTCCTTTAGCACTCGCCTGGCCTTGCTCGGGTCTTTTGTACTGGATCAAGTTACCATCGCTTGGGCTTTCGTTTCACTGCCTTAATGCAAGCTTTTCTTGCTCCTGACAGCTTGTTTGCAATTCATCAGACCACCATGTTACCGAGGTCGACTGGTACTGCCACTACTTCTGGGAACTGGATGCTTCTGCTGCAAGTGGGATCCGCGATGTGAAGTATTAACAGCATCTTGAACACCTGGAAAATCATCACAATCCTTGCAATACTGCGTTGGATCTAAAAGATTCCAGTCTGGCATGTTCAATGTCGCCAATCTCCGCACTCCAATGGCTGAAATGCCATTGCACCTCTTCCAAAAGTATTGAAAGTGTCACTTCCGTGTAAGTCTTCCATGACCTCCAGTGAAATTCAACTGGGAATCCAGGTGAGCCACTACAGTCAATATTGGAAGAATGTCCCAGTTTGAATAGGGAAATGTGTGGGTGCATCACTTTTTCAGTAACACTGCATCTACTCTTGAGAATAAAGATCCAAGGCCCTTCCTCGAGGATTGCACAAAGTGTCTCCCAGAGGTGATGGCGACCATTGACGTGCTCCCAAGAGTAGAAATGGATGAGGCAACTGTCCAAGTAAATCTTCAAATCATCTATGTTGAGATTATGTGGAGGGAGGTAGATGGATGCAACAGTGTAAGGTCGTGTCAAGCCTATTCTCATTGGCCTTCACCTGCAGTGTCGTCTGAAGGTGGATGGCCTGGAAAGGAATATCCTGACGTACCATCACTGCTACTCCTCCATGAGGTCCATTATCAAAGGTCCCATAATGGGCCTGATCATAATCTCTTGTAGGCATACACAAACTGGATTACAAGAAGCTATCAGATGTTGCAGTTCTTCCCATTTTGCATGAATTCCAGTTCTTCAGGTTGACAAGTTACTTCATTAGGTGTTTGGCAGCACCTGTGGTTAAGGTCCGCCCCACACCTTTAGGCTGTCCCTTTACAGCATCTTGGGAAAACCTTTTGATGGTTTGTTTACCTGTGAACTAGTTTTCCACAGGCTTTCTTGGACAGGCTCAGGATTTCTTTGCTTGGGCAAAGGACGGACCTGAGCCTTTGGTTCAGGAGCATTCTGTTTAGCAACAGAGGCCCCTGTGGATGTAGTGGCCTCTGGAGCCCTGCCTGGTGGCTCCAAAGACCCGACTCTATGGGGAGTCTTTGAACAGGCTCAGGATTCCTCTGCCTGTGCAAAGGACGTGCCTGAGCCTTTGCTTCAGGGGCATTCTTCCTAGCAGTAGAGGCCCCTGTGGATGTGGTGGCAGCTGGAGCTGTCACCGTTGAGGTCTCTGGAGCCTTAACTGATGGCTCCAAAGACCTTACTTTGGGAGGAGGAGTCTCCTCAATAGACCCATCACTCCTACTTCGTTTCTGGTGGACCAACTCACCAGAATCAGTTCAGCATTTGAGGACTAATGTTTAAACGGTAGTGGCAGAGTGTGTGGTATTAGAAGTATTGGAGGGAAAGGGATGGCGGGAAGGAGGATAGGCTAGAACTGAAGCAAAGGACTTACCCGGCTGTGCAAATAGCACACGGGCACGTCGCTTTGCTTCTGCAAAACTAACTTTCTCCTTGTTCCTTATTACCAATACTTCTTTTTCAAATCTGTACCTTTTACATTGCTTAGAAGAAGCTTCATGATCTTCTTTGCAGTGATAACAGCATATTGGACCTGGACAGTTGTCATCTCCTTGATGACCTGTTGTACCACAACCTCACACACACTCTTGGTGTCCATTTTCCTTAAAACGGCAATTGTTGGCTCCATGCCCATAACCCCTGGCAGTGGAAACACCGCATAGGGTTTGGTACATATGGCTTGAAGAAAGATGCATATGCTTGTATATAATATTTTATGTATATATATTTATATATTTATTTATATATATATGCTTACATATGGAAAATGGAGTAATCCAATGCCGCATTCATATCGATGAATAACAACCCTCCTGACCAGGACTGAAACCTTTGTCTATCCAGGAATGAACCAGAAGACCAAACTAAACTCACAAAACCACAAAACCCACTAAAAGGAGTGTAAAACTAGGATCTCACTAGCTCCATAGATATTACCATATCTACTCATACTATTGTACTGAAAGTGAAGTTTTACACACTCCACGTGGACACTCGGTGGAAATTGATTTAGCAATTCAAATCCTAAGTCAGATGTACTGAGGTGAGATGGAGTAGTGCAATCCCGCATTGATAACAAATGCAAGAGGTGCGGAATGTTGACCAAAGGTGTTCAAATCCTACAAGACAACGCCTGTGTTTACAACACTCACATTGCCCAGATGGATGTGTGGTCCTGTGGCTTTGACATCATTCCTCATCCTCCTTATTCTCCTGACCTTTCACCTCATTATGTCCATGAAGTCCTTTTTCAAGGAGAAACGTTTCCAAGATGATGAGACTGATTTCTGAAGTCACTCCCATGACTTCAGAAACTTGTACAAGTAACGCATCCACAGCTAAAACAATGGGAGAGGTGTGTCACTCTTGATGGGACCTCTGTAGATAAAGACTAATAACTGTATGACATTTGATTTCTGTATGTCTATGGGAATGGATCAAGGGAAACCTTTAATGAATGCCCCTCATATATGTAATATAAATAATATAAAGACGTCAATTGGTGATGGCGGTCGGGCAGTTCCCACACCCCCAAGGCTTGGTATTCCCACTCAAGGTCTGTCTCCCTCTCCCCGCCATTTTTTTTTTTTTTCTTCTTTTTTTCTTTTTTTACTGTATTATACTTATATTACACCTATATACTTATATTATGCTTATATTATACCTATATAGGTTATATCTTAAAACTGCCCACAGAATAGCTTATTTTTCTAAAGAAAAATTTGTCTCTTTCGCAAACCCACCAAGAAAAAGTTGAAATGATGCCCCTGTGTGTGTATATATATTTATATATGTATATATACATACATACATACACATACATATACATAAACATATATATATAAAACACGCACACACACATATGCAAATGTGTGTATATATACATGTATGTATGTGTGTGACCGTGTGGGAGTTTATGGATAAATATTTATATTTACGTTAAACTATCTGCTCGTATCATATATATACATATATATCTATATATTTGAATCTATATGTGCTTGTAAATATAGATATCCATATTTGTATTTATTTATCTCTAGCATACTTCCTTTATAATGATTCTTAGGATTGCCAAATAAAGAGGCTCACCTCAGACACCTCGATCGACTTCCCTCGCTGGAATTCCACCAGGGAACATTTTGCCGTTATTCCAGAAGAGAACCTGACTGTTAGTTTGACCATATTTGGAGAAAACCTTAATCTTTGTTGGGATGGAAAACAGACAGCGGTCAAGACGAACAAGGAAGACTGTCAAGCCTTGTCAGCTCACGAGGAGCACAAGATCACACTGGATTACGAGTCGCAGCAGATCAAGGTACAAACATGTATTTTTGGCCTCTGTGGGTCCAGTGTGAATATTCAAGGATCTTGGATTTAACTGAGTTGAATAAGAGGGAAATATCTAAATTCCCATCTCCAACAGAGAGCTGATGGCCGCATTCTCAGAACAGTAAATAGTACCAATGCAAATAAAGATGGCTTGATGAAGATGAAATCTGACGGAGGCAAGGCCTGGGTTGTGCAGATTCTGGGAGACTGGACTCATCTTCAGGGCAGCCAAAATGAGTGTGAGGACATTTTCCAGTTTAGTTCTAGGGCGTCCAGTCTCAGGAAAGTTAAATGTGTCAGTTCACCCAACACTCTGGAGTACTCTGATTCGTTAAAGTTCTTTGGTGAAAGAAGAATTAAATAGCGTTTACATCGATTTGTAATTCTGAAACTTATACCGACGTTTATTTCCTTTTTTGTTTAGTAATCACATTTGCTGCCTTCAACACCACTTCCTATTTTCCCAAAAGAGACTTAGCGAATCGGAGTGACACAGAGTCCGGAGAGAGACAATTATCTTCATTCCCGAGATTAGACGAAGGATACTTAGAATAACACATGGAGTTTACATATGTTGTATAGTGCATATTTCTCTCCTGAAGATATTTCATGCTTATTTGATATTTCTACAGGTAAAAGCAACTGTGGTGGAAACAACGCAATCCTGTATGTTTTTCTGACTTTCTTCATTATTACAACCATTGCTTTATTCTGTTACCTTCTGCGTATAAGGGTAATGTATCCCGTTTGTATTTACAGTTTCAATCACCACTTATTTCTTTAATTGCTCATAATTTATACAAAGATATGCCCATTATTAACATGAATATGAGTTTAAAAATCACCAAGCTCTATTGGAAGAAAAAAATATATATATCACGTTTACCTTTTTCACATAATAGAGAAACTCGTCCAGAAGTCGAGCTTATCCTGCCTCTCAAGTGCTTGAACTGAATACAGGTAAATAAAACAGCCTTTTTACTTTTCTTTGAGTCTATGAGGCAACAGCTTATCACTATAAACGGAACATCTTTAAAATGCAAATGAGGATTTTTGCTTCACGTTCTTTTGTTTACTAAGTGGATATATAACTACGCAGGTACATCCTCAGAAAAGTAAATGACTATGTGCGAGAATTAGTCATTCTATTTATTGCTTGCTATCATTATTGTTATTGTTATTATAATTATTTTTATTATTATCATTATTATCATAATTATCATTAATGTTATTGTCGTTATTACTATCATTAATATTGCTATTATTATCACTGTTATCATTGCTATTATTACTTTATTATCTTTATTATTATTATTATTATTATTATCATTGTTATCATCATTATCATCATCATCGCCATCATTACTATTATCATGATTATTATCATTAATGTCAATGTTATTATTATCATCTTGATTTTTATTATTATCATTATCATTATATTATCCTTATTATTATTGTTATCACTATTATTTCTGTTATTATTATTATCATTATTAGTATTATTATTAATATTATCATTATTACTATCATTGTCATTATAACTTTTATTGGTAGTATTATTACTAGTACTATATTATTATCGTTATTACTATTGTTATAATTATTGTTATTATTACTATTATCATCATCATCATCGTCATCATCATCATTAGTATCAGTGTTTTTTATTATCATAATCATTATCATTATTATAATCATTATCATTATTATTATAATCATTATCATTATTATTATCATCATTATTGTTATCTTAACTGTCATTATTATCATAAATATTATCATTACTATTATCATTATAATTATCATTACTATTATCATTATAATTATCATTACTATTATCATTATAATTATCATTACTATTATCATTATAATTAGCATTATTATCATCATGATCATCACCGTTATTATCATTATTATTACTTCCATCCTATCTAATCGTCCTACCTTTTTTCTAGCCAAGGAGACCATGACGGACGAAAATCCTGGTAGCATGGACTATGGAGAAGAAACAATTAATGATATCTATGATTATGATGGTCAGTGAGACTAGATGCTGTCTGACGATATACAAACAAAGGTATTAGATATTAGGAAGGAAGTCAGGTCTTCCAAACTAGCAGTATCCACTTGATGAATGGTGCCCTCATCCATAACAGACTGGGGTCGCCCTGTCGCAGGATCCGTTTCCATAGATCTCCGATCACACCAGACCGGCGATGCCAATGTTTAACAAAGTCATATGATGGGGCATCCTCTCCCTAAGTTGCCTTCATTTCATCTTTCAAGTATAGAAATATGCTATGAATTAAGGACTGGACATTAAAACATAACCCATAGAGATATGTATCATTATGCATGTGAAACAGGATAAGCGGAAGGGGATCAAGGGAAATCTTTTGTAAGCGCCCCCCTGTAGTTTATATACATATATATGTGTGTATGTGTGTGTATGTATATATATACATATTCATTTGCATTTATATATACACAATGGGTGCGCTCTTAAAAGATTTTCCTACATATATGCATGTGGATACATATACATATCTTCATATACATATATACGTATTTATATGTATATTTTGTGTATATATATATTTATATTTATATGTATATATGTATACATGTACGTATATATATGTATATATGTATATGTATTGTGTATACATACATATATATATAGATATATATGTATATATAAACACATATCGTATTATTTATTTCTACTTTTAGTTGATTTTATTTTATGTACTTTCATATAGTGTTTTATTCATACTTATGTATAAAGTGCCGCTTCTGCATATGTAGGCACAAGTATTAAGTCAGATTAGAATAAAAGCGACTTTGTGATTCGGCGTACCCGAGGGTTCGAGTGATTTGCCAGATGTTTACTGTCCTGAAAATGGACTTATATCTCTAGGCCAGATGGTTTAGAGTCCATGGTTTCAGGGGGTCTGTGAGGATCTGATAAAAATTAGCATTAATATTCGCTATAGTATTTTCATAAGAAGGAGTGATTTTTTAGGATCTTTACTTTAAAGTCCCTTACTACTTTGTATATCCCATATATGCATGAGACAGTCAAATCGAAATAAATAAAGTGCAATATACACATTGCAGGCAAAGTTTTGTTTATATGAACTATATTTCGGGAAGGGGATCCATAGCTTTCATCACATTCTTAAAGGTAAAGATGTTAAGACCACTTCTCTAGGCTAAGAGGAATATACGTATTTATATTAATTAATATAATTGTAATAGTTCGTTGAAGCCATGAATACACAGCAGTTCGTTGGGATTCATTTCTGAATCAACATTTTCATTGATTTTTATTGGAATGTTTCTTACCAGTCTTTGATTTAAAGAATTATTCTACATATTGAATTTAACCCATTCGCCCCAGATTTGTGTTCTGTCCCCAGTAGTTTTTTTGTGAATTTTGTTACATACAGATGGCTCCACATGTGCTCACCCGGCAAGGAGTCCTATCAGTAGGCCCTAGCTACTGACCCTGATTTTCCCATTCATTAAATTGGCGAGAAAATTAATACCATTGCTATCGATACTGTTATTATTGTTATTAATATTATAATTATGGAATTGTCATTAGAATATTTTAAACAATGAAATGATACAAAAAAAAACTTTCCTAGAGTGAAGAAAAAGGGTAAACAGGTGAAATAGGTTGTTTCGATAAACTGGTTATTTGGTGATTAAAAACTTGTGGAGCCATCTATGTGTAAATACAATAAATAAACGTGTCCATCTATGTGTAAATACAATAAATAAACGTGTATCACAGTGGGCATGGCATCTATTCTTGCCACGTGGGGCGGATGGGTTAAGTTACCAGGAGGCTCGACAAACTAAACATAGATATCTGTTGATTGTAAGAACCATTTAGTCATTTTATATATGATACTTATTTTCTGTGAATCTCATGGATGCAATGAATTAATGTGAAATAAATTAGGTTCAGAAATCTTATTCCTTACTCATTATATATCTATGATATGGTATATACATGCCTTTATATGGTGTAATATCACACAACTTGAACATACTCGTATTTACATACATAGAAATATATATTAGCCAATGATGTTCATATACATTCTCTCTCTCTCTCTCTCCCCCTCTCTCTCTCTCTCTCTCTCTCTCTCTCTCTCTCTCTCTCTCTCTCTCTCTCTCCTCTCTCTCTCTCTCTCTCTCTCTCTCTCATTTTGAGATATCAAATTTACAAAATTAACACTTTCATCATAGAAAAAGAATCTCTATTATAGATCGATAAAAAACAAATGTAACTTTTACGCTGTCCGGAAAACAAGCACACATATATAAATGTATTCATATATGAATATATGTAAGCATATTTATATATGTATATATATATATATATATATATATATATATATATATATATATACATGTGAATATATATATATATATATATATATATATATATATATATTATATATATATGTATATATATATATATATATATATATATATATATGTATATATATATATATATATATATATATATATACATGTGAATATATATATATATATATATATTATATATATATATATATATATATATATATGTATATATATAATTACTGTTGATTTTCCGTCGGGAAATGTGGACGCAGAATGAAAAGTAATAAAGATGTTACCCTGATAACGGTTTTTACAAAAATCTCTTGAATCATTCCTAGACAAGAAATTATGCCCATCCATAAAAATCCATACTGCTCCCAAAGAATTAGTACTAAGTACATAAAATACCATCTTTCAGATATGTAAGCTTCACTATTCGTAAACAAACAATCAATTTCAACATTGTTCTTGTTACTCTAATAACATTAACTCTTTCTTTAAGAGAGAATGCCTTTGCCTTCAGAACTATGTTCAAATGTTATAAATATTTTTAATTACCCTAAATATAATGCTAGGTATATTGGATCATCTACACGATCGGTTCAAACACAGAATACTTGAACACATGGGTAAAATCTATAAGAACTAGCCTACCTGTCAGCACACCTTCTTTCTCGGCTGTCCGCCAGCATTCACACAGTTCATCCTTTCACTCATAATGATATTAAAATTCTATCCACATCTAACAGATTCGGCCTTATTATCTCAGAATCCCTGTACATTCACAAGATGAAACCCGATCTCAATAACAGCACAGCCATTCAGTTTTTACGGTGTAATGCAATCACCGTAAAAAAACAGTTCTCACTTGTTTAGGTATGTCTCTCGCTTCGTATATATGTCCTGTTTTTTCCACAATGTTTCTGTCGCTTTCTTTTTGTGTACTTTGGGTTAACCCATTTGTTAATGTTTATTTCAACAACTTTTTTGTCATTTTCTCTTTTATCAGTAATGTTTTTAGGGCTCATTATTTCTGGTCTAATGATGGAGATATGACTCTTCGAAACGTTACGCAATAATAATTATGTTCACACAGGCTCTACTTTTCATTCTGCGTCCTATCTATATATATATATATATATATATATATATATATATAGTATATATATGTATATATATATATTAATATATATGCGTGTGTGTGGTGTGTGTGTGTGTGTGTGTGTGTGTGTGTGTGGTGTGTGTGTGTGTGTGTGTGTGTGTGTGTGTGTGTGTGCAGAATACAAAAATATATATATTTATGTAGTAAACACACACATATATATGTATATATATGTATATATGTGTGTGTGTTTGTGTGCATATATTGTATGTATGTATATGTAGGCAATATAAGATATAGTTGGTGGTACAGAATATATATATATACTATTTTTTTTATACATACATACATATACATATATGTATAATATATATAATCTATATATATATTCTGAGGCACATATGTGTGTATTCATACACACCACACACTATATATACATATATATTATATATATATCTATTATATATATTATAACATATTTATATATATAGATATATCTATATATATATATATAATGTTAATTACACATACACATACATATATACCAACACACTACACATACACACCTCCCAAGCTCTCATCCGCTCCAGAACCATCTTATCATAGTTTTTCCTTCCGGGGTTCCATGAACACTATCGCAGTCCCTCTAGTGTGTGTGTGTGTGTGTGTGTATTTATGTTTATTATATGTACATTACATCACCAGACATATATGTATGTATATATATACACATATATATTTATATAATACATATATATGTATGCTATGTGTGTGTATATGCATATATATGACAACACATATATGCTATTACAGATATCTGTACATAGTATGTATATATCGTTATACATATGTATATACACTTAAATGCACACCACACCAAAAAAAACACACAAAGAAGAAAGTTCGGGAGCTGTGCTGCCTTGAATCGTCGTTCACGCTTCCATGCACACGGTGGTGAGCGCGTTCTCTAGGCTGGTTAGTATCCAGACTGTTTCACTGTTGCAATTTTCTCCTGCATCTAGACTAGTTCCGTCATCAACCTGATTTTACTTTTCTCTTACTCCCTCCCCCCCTTCTCTCTCTAATTATTTGGTTATCATATACCTCTTTCTATTTTTTTTCTCTCTTCTCTCCCCTCACTCTCTACCCCTCCTCCCTATCTCCCGTTTTCGTTTGAACGAAAGAGCTATATTTCCTCAAAATATTTCGCGCTGTAACTTTCACACCATCGTGTTGAGTTGATTAAACTGTCACTAACACCATCCCTAACGCGGGCAGGCAAACTATGTTTTTTTTGTTTTGTTTTGTTTTGTTTTTGACCGCAAAAAGTTCGCCCACGTCTCGTTTTGGTTTATATGAAATAATCAGGGAAATGGAAGTGTCATGGGCAGGATTTTTTTTTATAGAGAAACCAATATTAAACACACTTTCTCAGGTGACCCATAAGAATTCCTCTCTTATTGAGAGGCCGGTTTGCATAGTACACAAATCAAGTAGTTGTAATCAAGGTCTACAAGATTATATAAGTGATGCCGTGTACAACATATGCGGGGGTGTGGGTGGTGGGGGGCTTCGAGATAGATTATTGGTATCAAGTCTTTTCATGGTACAACGCAAACAATCAGCACTAATCTAGGTTCTCCATATATGAAATTCTGGTTCCTTTAGTCTTGCCGTTTTCTGTAATAATATCAGGTTCATATAATATCATAATGGTGAAATTGAAGCATGATGTTAGACCTACTGAAGCACAGGGCTATGTCTTGCCACTGTAAGTTTATGTATATATATTATATCTATGTATGTATTTAGTATGTATATTGCCCTCTTCCCCCATTCCCAGATTATTCGAGAAAATTGCTATTGCTTATTCGACCGCTATTAATACGATAACTTATTATGCTAATATTTGCATTTTATAGATATTGTAATCTTATTATTACTTACAAATGAATATAAAAATAAAAAATCTCCGAAAATCAGAGAAAAGATAAACAGGTAAAACAGGTGGGGTAATAGTGTTATTCATTAAACTATATATAG